TCAGATTCAGAATTCAAAGATGCAAAAGTTAATCTGGAATTCCATAAACTAGATAATCTGAAACTCCATAAAGATGATCTCTTTATTCAGATTCAGATGCAAAAGTTAATCTGGAACTCCATAAAGATAATCTAGATAATCTGGAACCCCATTAAAGAGATCTCCTTATTCAGATGCCAAAGTTAATCTGGAACCCCATAAAGATCGCGGTTCCCTTTAACAAGATTTGACTGGAAGCAGCCTCGAGTGATTTTATACCCTTCCTTCCAAGACTGCCATTCTTGCACCGGGCACGGCGTTAGGTGCCTCTCGTGTGGCCGGGGGCTTCTTCCCCTCCAGCTGTGCCTCATCTGCGTGGGACAGGATGAAGCCTTCTGCAGAAAGCTGTTGCTGCCGGAGGTGGATAGACACGTCCTATCGTGCTGCGGGAACGCAGGCTGTTGGGGAGCAGGCCGCCCAACCCAGATTGGTTTAACAATAAAGCCGCCCTTCATCAACCAGCAGAGACCTGACTCTCGTGGGGTAAAATTCCACCGGTAAAATTCCCCCGAAAAACTTTACTGTTCATCCTGAGCACAATAGCGAGGGGAATCCAAAGGTGCTTTTCTTTCTTTCTTTCTTTTTTTTTTTCCAAGGAGGCCACTGGACTTTTCTTGAGTTTTTCTTTGAAGAGGTTTCGCTCCTCATCTGAGCAGCTTCTTCAGCTCTGAAGAACCGAACTGGGAAACTGAAGCAGCTTCTCGGATGAGGAGGGAAACCTCTTCAAAGAAAAACCAAGAAAAGTCCACTGGCCTCCTGGGAAAACAACAACAACCCTAACCTGTTTGACTGAGAACCTCCAGAGACATTTAGCTACAAGCTCGGTTGTTTTCTTGCAGACGTTTCATGAGCCCAACTAGGTAACATCATCAGTGGTAGAAGGGAGTGGGGTTTGTGAAGGGGAGGAGAGGATTAGGAGGAGGAGGAGGAAAGGAGGAGGAGGAAAAGAGGAGAATCACTGTGAAGTCCTTGGTGCTCTCTGAGCTGGCTTGTTTTCTTGCAAACCTTTCATGACCCAACTAGGTAACATCATCAGTGCTAGAAGGGAGTGGGGTTTGCAGAAAGAACTGCGGGTTTCTCTCCGAGCTTTCTGGCTGACATTTCACGACCCAAACTAGGCAACGTCATCAGGGCTAGAAGAAAACTGGGATTTCAAAGAGGACGACTGAGGGGTCCTTGGTGCTCTTTGAGCGTGCGCACTTTCTTGCAGACCTTTCATGACCCAACTAGGGAACAGCATCAGTGCTAGAGTGAGAGGAGCGTGGAGACGAGGCGAAGGCAGGAATGAGGCAGGGAGCAACAATCCAAACGCTTTTATTCTCTTGGCGGTGCTGATACATTCTTGTGCTGGTGCGAGAAGGGGGTTACAATCCCAGAGGGAGGCTGGCAACGCATATCACAAGTCCGCTGTCCCATTGCTACCCCACGCGGCCCCAAGGACTGGCCCGCCCCGCTTGGGAGTCACCTGAAGCGGGCAAGGCAGCTCCGGAAGGGGTGGGTGGGTGCCAGGGGAGCAGCTCCCCGGCAGGCAGGAACCCACACGAAGAAAACTCCCCATCGGGGTCCTCCTTGGCCACGGAGTTGAGATCCCCCCGACTCAGCAGCCCCTCTAGCAGGAGGGACATCCCAGCAACACCTGTGGCTGGTAACTACTGGTGGAAAGAGCCCCTCTGAGCTAGCAGAGCCCCCTCCTCAATCCATGGCAGGACTCAGGCTTTTAATGAAGCGCCCCTCTTCTTTTCAACAGTTCCTTGACAACCAAGGAAAGTGCGCGATTCGATGCCACGGCCGCGGCGCCTGAGCCCAAGAGGCTGCCTCCCCCCCCCAAAAGACCGAGGCGAGTTAATTTGGGACGGGGTGGGGTCAGGAGCGCAACCCCCCTTCTTTGCCTTTCCCATGTTCCCCCCTCCTTCGCAGCTTTTTTCTCTGTGACAAAAAAGCGTGCACAAAGTGAAAACAACAACACACGGCTATCCATGATCAGGCCGGGCTTTGGGCAGGTGGGAAAGCGAAGGCGGATGCGAAAGGTCAACGTCCCTCCCCCGCCCCAAGAGGCTTCTACATGTGGGGCCTCCCCAGCTTGGCTTGCCTTCAGCGGGGTGTGGGGGTGGGGTCCCTAGGAACGAGGGGTGAGGGGAAGGGGAAGATCTGCTACCATCAAATGAAGAGCGCAGAAGGGAGCTGGACCCGACGTGGACACTAAGCTGACCTCCCGATCTCTTGCAAGCAAACCTCCCAAGAGATCCCGAGGTTTAGATGCCCAAAGATGTCCCAGAGGCAACTGCGCTTTCTGGGTTTTTCATTCGAAGACCTTTCGCTTCTCATCTGAGAAGCTTCTTCGGCTCCGACTGGAGGAGGGTGGGGAAGGGAAGGATTTATATTCCTTGCAGACAGCTGGTCATTGGCGCCCTTTGAGAGCGGCGTTGAGGCCACCAGCTGGTTTGAAAGGCGGGTCAAAAAGAGGCCATTTGGATCTCTGCAGGTGCCAACCCAGATTTCTTGTCGAGGCTGAGCAACAGGCCCACACCGGGCGGTGGGGTGGGTGGGGGGGAGGAAGAGGAGGGATGGTTTCCATTTCGGCTCCGTTGAATGATATGCAGTTAATAGCGGCGGTGATTCTCCAGCCAGGTTTTCCCATCCTTTCTCACTTCTGCCACCTCAATTTGGTGCCCCTCTGGATTAAAGGCTTCAGGGAAAGCAAGACTAGGGTCTCTTGGACCATCAGAAAGTGGGGAGGGGGCTACAGGCTTTTTTTACAAAACAAACAAACAACAGAATAACTTACAAGCCACAATCAAAAACAACCTCGGTATAAAAAGCAGGCGTGGTGCAGAGTTGGCAGCCAAACCTTCCGGTCCCTTTTCCCAGGCTGGGCGGCCTCGCCTGGTCCTTGGGATGCCCGAGTTGCCAACGGCCAGCCTGCGGTGGTGGGGGTGGGGAAAACAGGAGGTGGGGAGTAGGGAAAGTGTGGGAAGCTTCCCCCCCCCCGTGTTTTGGGAGTGGGGGGTGGATAGGGTGTCTCTCAGAAGAGGAGAACGGCTACAGGTGCGCCTGCCGCCGCTGAAGCTCGTGACGCCGCAGGTGATTGTAGAGGGACTGGACGTAAGTGAAGACGCATTTTGCATCCGGACGTTTCCCCATCACCATCATGTCCTCCACATCCACCAGCGGGACGCAGTCCACCAGCATCCTGCAAAAGCCAAGGGACACGGGTTCGATTCGGGCGGGGTGGGGGCGGGGCGGGCAGGACAAAGGGCCCCACCGTCCCGTCGCGCTAAGCTGCGATCGGTCCCAGAATCCAGCCTGGGTCTAGGACAACTCGCCGCGGGACGGAATGAATTACATTGAATACCGGAGAAAAGGTAGAAATCGAATTTGTGAAAGGGAAGGAACGCCGAAGGAGGAAGAGAATGAAATGGGAATGGCAAAACATTTTTTTAAAAAAAAACATGTTTCAATCATTTTAAATAATTTGTCTCGCTTAACGACACGCATTTTTGAGCAGTGGTCATAAGTTGACCTGCGTACAAATCCAGAAAAGTTTGAATAGGGATATTGTTGTGGCCTGTCGGCTGCCCCTCCACCAACTAAATCGGAGTTGGCATCAGGGCAACCCGAGAGCTCAGAGGGGGAAGAGGGAAGAGAGCTGGCAGAGAGAGAGAGAGAGAGAGAGAGAGAGAGTGAAGGAGAAAGAGAGAGAGAGAGAGAGAAGGAGAAAGAGAGAGAGAG